GGTACTCAGCAGCACAGAGTCCAGGTTGGCTAAAGTCACACGGTTGGTTGTCAAAATTATGGTCTCTTTTTGGGTACCCTAAATATTAGGTGCCGTATACTAATAGGGACCCCAAAAGGGACCATCATTTTGACAACCACCCACATGATTACTTTAACTCTGCCCGTTGGCGATTATGAGCAGGACCCTCCAGGTTTCAGGACTGACCTGAAGCCGGTTCGTCTTTGTCATCTTTTCCCGAACCACTGGAAACAAGCTCTTGGTATCAACAGATGCAGCTTCAGGAACATTATCTCTAACAAAAGCAGCCTGAAGAAAAAAAGGAAGAATAACAAGGAAAAAAAGTAATAAGAATAAGACCACCGCAATAACAACACGAAAACATAACAATAAGACTCAGAAGAAGAACGTAGAAGAAGTGGAGGAAGAAGAAGAGCAGATGCAACAGATGCAGTAGCAGCAACCACCGAGACGCCAGTGTAAAGTGTTACCATGTCCAACCCCGATCGCAGACGACCAGCACTGCCAGCATCACATGAATGGTATTTCCCACTAGAGAATTCCTCCCACATCCCTGAAACCCAGAAACTGCTCCACTCCTTTGGGGGAGTGTTTTTGGTGATTTCGAGGCTTATCGGAGGGTGGCATGTGTTTCGTTCGACGCAGCTGCAGGCCTTGGCCATCCTTGCCACGTCTCAAACAGCCTCGCTGGAGCCCGGCGCGATGATGGCAGGTTCGGACTTGACGTTTCGGGCTATCATGATTCTGAGCTCGTACAAGCTGCATCAACACAAATCCATTCAAGGGCCTGTTGGACCCACAGAGGAGGGACTCAGAACTGGCATCCAGCAAGATTAACTGCGATCAATGCTGAAGTCAAAACGTTTGATCTAGGACCAGCTGATGCATCTATTCTGCCAAAAGGACGGAATGCAGCGGCCAATGCCTGCATTCAAGCTGGACACTGGGAAGAGGCTCGGCGCGAGTGGTGGGTAAAAGCAGCAGTGGATCATGGAAGTCGGTTCGAGGCATCCTCCGCAGTGATCATGGAAATCATCATATTGCGGCTAGGTATTGAAGGGCCAGGTTATAGAAGATCACTATTGTAGCCCATAGTCTTCTATAAGTATGTTCTTAGATAACACGAGTGCGCTTGCCCCAGATGGCTGTTTCGGGCATCAGTTTTGAGTGTGCTTTACTGCTATTCTCGGTTGCTGTAGTGTGGAGGCTAGCCGGTCTTGAACAAGTGCAATGTTCGACTCAGGAAGCACTGGCAGGTAGGGTATTATGCCTCAGATGTCAAATGTGCAGGGACTTTCGATAGCCTTGAACGGCCCCAAGCTCAGCTGGGGCAAGTTGCGCTTTTACTTTATCAATTGCTACATCAAAGTGTGAGCACTTAAAAAAACTGTATGTTACGCTGCTAAATCACACATATGTGTATGTATGAAGGATGAAGGTATGCACTTCTGTACATCCGTATGCCTCTATATCTGTATGTGAGACATGCATGCCTGTCTGTAGGTATGTGGGAATGTATTGCTGTATTCTATGTACGTAGGTAGGTAGGTAGGTAGGTAGGCAGGCAGGCAGGCAGGCAGGCAGGTAGGTAGGTATATACGACCTGTGATGTATGCATGCCTGCTTGCTGCCGACCTCCGTGCCTGGTTGCCTATCTGTCTGTGTATGCATGTGCGCGCAATTATTTAGAGTGTTTGTTTCTGGTTTTAGTTACCTAGGTTATTAGTCTATCTATCTATCTATCTATCTGTAGTCATATCAACTGATCTTCTGATCTATCTGTCTAACTATGTATAGAGCTATGTGTGTGTGTGTGTGCTCATCTGCCTAGACACACACCTACTAAAACATACCTGTCAGGGCACCTCATTACAGTGCCCCACTCCATACGATCTTGGTGTTTGCAGCACGGCTAGCGGAACTTCAAAATCCTGAGATCGAAGCCGCAGTTCTGAGCCTCTGAACCTGTCACTGTGAGCTTGACCAAGCGGACCTCCACTTCAAGGCTATGTTCCTCGTTAAGGGCTTGTAGAATCCCATGTTCGATCTAGCAAGAATCCTTTCAACCCCATCGTGGGAAGCCTTTCCTACTAGGATCCAGTGAATGAAGCCTTGGTTGACCAAGGTATTGGAAGGCTAAACGACGAGGGTAGCTGGGCACAGAGCCCAGGAAGACTCCTGGACCTGTTACTCACGGCTTTCTGGTTGACGATCATGGTGACTTGCGTTCTGCTTTGTTCTTCAGGATGCACCTTTCACGTATATGTGCATACACACAAGAGATGTGAAATCAAGGTATGGCTACTGCAAGAGAGTAGAAAAGGACTCTACCCTACTAGTAGAAGTCGCCTCTTTCTTATTACCATCACCATCAGGTATCACCACGGTCACACCATGATTCTCTTTCCGTTGACGGTGACCTTGATGGCATGAAGCGGCACTGTATGGGTTCGTCACGCGGCCAAACCTTGAGTCAATCAAAATCTCGGGGGTGCGCAGGCAGCGGTCCATAGGGCACGAAGCGTCAAGTTAGGTTTGGCCATGCCCACATTGACTGTTGCTTGCGGACATCTTGTCGATAACTTGAAGCACTACATTCCTTTTTGGGCTTTCTTAATTAATCTTCTTACTATGTGGCAATGGCGATCAGGCCTTGGCAGTTTTCGCATGCAAGGCAGGTCAGTGCTGGGAGCAGGCGTGGTTGCCAGATGCAGCTAACGTGGATGACGCAGCATAATGTCAAGTTTCTGTGTGGAGCACTGCAGGCACGGTAAGCAGAACATGGGCTGTGAGAACCTAAGCAGCGAGCAGCTTTTCCTTGCGACAGGCGCTATTTATGCTGAGTGCCATGGAGCAAGCTAGCTCACGCCCCAGCAAGAATCCAAAGAGCATGGTTCACAGCTTCAAGGGCTTCTCAGGCGTGAAGCTGTCAGTGGCCATCTGCAGCGCTGCTATAGCCAGCTGCGATGGGCAATGGCAGCAGGCGAAGGGACCGTAGAAACTCCACCTGTCACAGAATGAATCTGCGCGTACGGAAAGGCTTTGCAGGTTTTGGCGGCGATGCAGGCGGGCTGCGGAACAAATGCTGGTGGCAGGGCAGCAACGTCTGTGGGTCGGGAAGACATGTGCATCTTGCGATGAATTTCGCATGCTGTGATGTCAATTTTTGAAAGGATGCAAGTAGCAAAGCTGGCCTGACGCTGGGAAGGTCCAGGGACCTGCACCGAACTTCGTAGTCTTCTCGGCTGCCATTGGTGCTATGCCCTGGAAGATCGAGTAGGCGATTCTTGCAGTGGCCTCCTATCTTGGCCTAGTGGGCCTGTCTGAGGTGCCTGCAGCAACTGCTCAGAGTGGGTGGCATCGCTGGCAGCCAAGCAGATCAGTGGCTGCTTTGATGGTTCAGCTTGCTCTATTCGGATAAGCTGGAGAGCGCACCAGCGGCCACTTTCCTCGAATCTGGGAAATTTCTTGATCAAGCAACGAAGCAACAAACATGCAAGAGGCGGTCCATGATCGCTGAAAGGCATGAAAAGTCCTTGAGAAAGCTTTCATCCCGCAAGCTGGGTTTCAAATGCGTGGTGTCTTTGCCATGGCTCCTCTTGCACGCAATGTGGCCAGGAGGAGCGGCTAGCAGAGGATTTTGCACTGTGAGGATTCAAGTTTGGTTCTTTGCATCGGCAGGATCTGCCACGTGTACCGTCAGGGGCCTAGATCTTAGCGGCAGCAGCGGAAGAGAAAGCTTAGCCTCCTTTGAAGATAGAATCACGAGGAACTTTTCGGTATCGCCAGCGTTCTGCAGTGCAAAGGTGGTTGTTTGTCCGAGCGTTTGATTCACCGTGTCCCACTGGACAATTCAAAACAAATGATTGCCCTGGAAGTCCTTCAGAAAAGGATTTGCTCAGCTTGGAGTTGAAGGGACTTTGCTATTGACAGATACAGGCATGTCTTATGTTGAGCATATCGGCCCCCCCTTTGAGTCCCTATTGTGCCTTGCAGAGCACACACAAGCCACTGCCGTGGGGGAGTTTGTCAAAAATTGCTTTTATAGGATCCTGACCCCATTCCCCTTTTCCCTGGGGTGCCTAAACCTTAAGGACGCCTTTTTTGAGAGACTCCCATCTTTGCATAGAGGCAAAGCCGGCCATGGCGTAGCGCGACAGGCGCGGTGCACCCAAGAAGTTTGGAAGACCTTCAAATCCGGGTAGATCTACAGAGCAAATGCATCCATTTCCCTTTCACTTGTGCTGCAAGGTCATGGAAGAAGAGTTCCTGCGCCGATGTTGTATGGAGGCTTGCCCAAGCGAGGCTTTGTTAAAACCATGTGACGCTTTTCGTGCAATATGCAATAGGGATTTATCTGTGGGTTCTCGGGATTCAGCGTGCGTTAAATGGACGAGGATACGCTGGGCTTCTCAAAAACATGTGCGTCTCTTCAGAGTAGTACTAGTAGGGGTTGTCTATTCTTGGGAACCTAGTTCGTATGCCAAAGCTATTTTCGATGAGCTGACAACTTGGCCACAACAGAGACTTGGAGGTTGGCCCTCTAATCCGGCTCATTCACTGTAAAGCCGGACGAGTTGTTCCAAGTAACCGTTCTAGTCCTTAGTCTAGCTAACTAACTGACTATCGCGCACCACGTCTGGCATCTACTTGAATGTCCAATTTGTATTCCAGATATTTCGGCCTCCGTATGCTTTCCTTTGTTAAAGGCTTGCTGTGGTGGCCTCAAGCTGCACCAGTCGACTCAGTCGTCGAAGGGAGCTTGCGTCTGAACTAGAGTAGGTGCATTTGAGCGATGATCTACTACAGCTATACAACAGGCATGATCATTTGTAGTCATTGCGATCTGCATGAACAACTTTGGGTACCAGTGACTCGTAACCAGTCGTCAGCGCATCACAGCAGTCCCCTTGACAGTGGCTGTGGCGTGATGTCAGAAGAAGCTGAAACCGCGACAGGTGCTGTTGCATTCTGGGCCCATGCACTACTCGCGGCTGGCACGAAAGGCAGCTGCACTAGTGAGGCGGCGTGACTTGTCGCGAGCTGGAGTGCTAGCGCAACGAGGATCACATTCACATAATAACTCAATCACAGCCTGTAGCAGCGGCTGTGTTGTGAACTTGTAGAGCCCTTTTTTCCTCTGATCATCTTCACAGCCATTGCTGCAGCTCACTCCTATTGTTCCTTGTGACCAGCTAGCAGAACATAACTCGATCTGTGCAAACTCGTGTTGAACGATCCTAAACGCAGAGTCAAGTGAGGTGCCTCCAACAAACCAAAGAGCAACACATGGAGAAGCAAGGACCGTGAACCATGTGGCACCACAGAGTCAACAGATGACTGCCAGCTCTGATGAGGAGATGCGACTTCGACTGTTGGCCTCCCTGCCAAGGCATTGGTTTGTTGCAGGAATGTTCTTTTGGAATGTCTCAGTGCTCCCTGCAAGGTCATGGCTTAGTACCACTGGGCCTGTGGTGCGACTTCCCGTCGCCACGGCTGCGGATAATTGCTGCTTGGAGAAGCGGTCCAGGAACTAATTGGGGATATGGGGTAATAGCATTGGCATGGCCATCAGCAGCCAAAGAGCGAAAAAAGGATGAGCAGATGAGGAGTGCAAGGAGCATGGCTGGCCAATGCCGTGAAGCTAAAGATGATGCAGGAATGACCAGCAGCTGATTCTTGCGATAACAACATGTCTCGTCACATGGACAGAAGCTAGAGGCAGCCAGATCCTGAGGCTGCATTTGCCTGGTAGCAAGGGCAGACGCTGCCTTTGCCCCGTGTGGCCACGGCTTCGTGTGTGAACCTCCGCAGCACTGGTTTCCGAGGTTCGAGACGTCAGCCCGAGAGCCTGACGTTTGTTTGACCCAGGAATCCTGCGCCTGGCGCTGCAGTGACTGCCCTCTTTGTCGCGAGGCCGTGACTGAGGCCTGCACATTTTGTAAGCTGCTTGGTGTTTTCACTTTCAGTCGTCTGTGAGAGGTGATTCGGCTCGGAAGAGAGGAGGCATTTCAGGATATTTGACTGTGCTAGCTGGAGATGCTATCTGCTCTTAACAATGCAGTCGCGTCTACACCACATTCTGCGTCTCTTTCGTATTTGATGGAGAAGTCAGCCGAGCATCGCCAGCAAGGAAGACAGCCTCTGAAAGGTGCCATTGAGGGCGGCTAGCCCATTTTCACCACAAAAAGTCATGAAGACAATTGCCAGAAGTGAAGTCCCCAATGTGGGAAATTTCCTCGGGAGATGCGTCGATTTAGCTATACGACAAGTGTTATTTAGATGGAGTTCAAAGACAGTATTGATGAATGGATGCCTGTTGAGCAACGTTTCGCAGTTGCATTCGTAGAAGCAGGAAACATGAGAGCGTTGGAGGAGATTTATAGGTGTGCCAATGGGCGCGTCTCCCCTGTACATATGTTCGCTGTAGCATGTAGGAATCCAAGAAGGCCGGAAGATTGAGACAACCTGCCGGGTGGCGGAAAGCCACTTCCTGGCTGTATGGGGAATCCAGGTGAGCTGCTGACAAACGAGACCCTCGCAAATTCATTCAATGACGAATGCTGCCAATCATTGTGGTTGATGTGTCTTATAGCTAATTATCACCTTCATGGGGCAAAATGCCCTGACTGTACATATCCATCTCTGCTTGGACAAGCAATTTGCGTTTTAAGTGGAGTTCAGCACCTGTCCTACCGTGAGGAGGCACCCATGCACCATGCCTGCATGCTTCTGTGAGTTCGGCCTGTGCTCGTACAGCTACAGCAGAGCACTAGAAGCCAGGAAATCACATATGAACCCACCGGATGCCTCAGCGATTTGGCGTGCAGAGCTCCCGTGCTGCATGTTATCCTGCGACAGCCAGACGTGCAGGTGGAAGGAAAAAGGCAGCTGCTTTTGACAGCTGATGCCTTTCGAAAGCTTTTTTTGAGGATCATACTCTGAAGATCAGCAGAAGAGCAGGAATTTCTCGTTGTCATCTTGGTGAGGGAAGGTTTGGAGGCTTTCGCAGGTTTGGCTCAAGAAGCTACATTCCAGAAATCAGAGTGGTTGAGGGTCGGTCCCGTGTTCATCCTCCAACTCTGCTGAGGCTGGCACTGCTGCAGGATTTGAGACAGAGCTCTATCCAGGCCGCACTGACAGTGACATGTTGGCATGGGTCGCAGTCAGGTTTGCCTGTTGCCCCTGGCTGGTGTGAAGTCAGATACTAGTTCTGGCAGCTTTGGCATATCCGGTTCAAGAATTTGGGTGTGTCTTGGAGATCTGTTCGCTGGCATGTGAGACTGCGGTGGGAGTGTCCAGTCTTGTAATTGTAAAGCTTGAGCCCTGCTTGGCCAGGTAGGAGCAATCCCGGCAGCCATCAGTTCTTGCGAGAGGACCGAAACTAGCTCTGGAAAACAACCAGGTTTTGCAAGACGCGAGCCAGGAGTGGCCAATGGCAGTGGGCGTGTGGCTCTCGGATAGCATAGACTCGGTTCCTAGATCCCCCGAACTGGATTCTTCACTTCTGAGACGCCCCGAATGCTTGCTCAAGGGGGAGGTCGTCCGGGACGGGGCCCGTATGCTTGGGAGCCTCAAGGAAATATAAGTTGCAAGTGCCCGCATGAGACAAGGCTGCACATCTTGGTGGCATATGCCGACATGGGCCGGCTCCTCATAAGCTCTTCGAGTGGGCTCCTCTGGTTGCTCTGTCAGAAGGATCCTGGTAATGTTTTTGATCAAGATGTGGCAATCACAGTAAGAAAAGAGTCGTAGAAGTTATGGTGCGCTTGGTAGCCGGAGAGGCCAGAAATGTCCGTTTGGAGTCCCTAATCCAGTTGCCATGTGTCCAAAGCGTTGTACAGAAAGAGATAGGACCATTTGGCTGTTGCCCTACATACCGCAAAATCACAGAAGCCTTTGCACGCGAAGCCATCAAAAGGACCCATAACTCTGAGAGCCAAGATGTCATATGTCCCCAGACATTCCTTGGCTGGTCGGCACCAGGTTTCCACAAAGATCTCGCCTCCCTGAATGCAGCTATCAGCGCCTGCTCCGAGGCCTGTCGCAAAAGGCTCTTTGTCTGAGAACCTTCAAGTTGTAATAGCGAAGACCCCCCCCCCAAAGAGTGCTCGGTGGCATTACGTGAAGGGAGAAAAAGAGAGACAAGGCTTGAAGATGTCAAGAATCATTACGTACAGTTCAGCTGTCGGGGAACCTGGTTTCGAATTTCTCTTCAGAATATCACCTTTGTTCTTTCCTGAACATTCACACGGTCAGCTGTTTCAGTTTGTCTTTTACTTACCTCAGCTCATGCCTATGGTTGCTACCTGTAATGATCGGCCGAATGGGAAGGGTAGGTTAACAAAGATAGAAGCAGAAAACTGCCTTGCCACCGAAGTTTAAGCATACCTGCCTTGGATTTTTGCGACCTTCCCGTCTCCAGTTCCAATAGCATTCGCATACAGACGTGTGGACAGGGGCTGCGTTGGCATACGGCCAGGCGCCAAGCAGATAGGGAAAAAACCGCATAAAACTCACGAGCTTCCTACAATGAGGGTCCCCAACATTTATTCCCCAAAAGTATAGCTGCTCAATGGAAACGCCCTCTAGAACTTGAGCAGTAGATTTGTTTTTTGCCCAGCTTTGCTGATCATATTGGGTTCCGTTTTGGCATGGAGTCACGGCACCTTTGTGGTAGTTTCCCAAAATAAGGGGATCCCAATATAGACCCCAAAATACTATAATCATTAATATGGGGACCCCCAAAACAGGTACCCCTAATTTGGGGAAACCCCCTTGTAGGCCCCATGCTCACTTAGGCAGTGGAACTCTTTGAGGAGATGCAGGTGCCACACTTTTGGACGCCCCCCATATGGTTTCCAAGATGAGAACCCCCTGTTTAAGGTCCCAAAATGGTAAACCTACCCACACCCCCCCCCCC